AGACAGTCCCTACCAATAAGAAGCCTCCCTGTACGCAGAACATAGGACCATCCAATCGTTTTAAAGTGCATCTGGTGCGCTCGGGCTTCAGCAAAACTCTCTATAACAAGCTTGCCCCACCCTGGTTCGGACTCTCAGTACGGATCCGCTGTGTCGGTGAAATCCGAGGGCCCGAGCTTAAGCCGAATAAAGGCTCTTTGCTGTTGCATACACTCTGGACTCCTTGGTGGTCATTGGGGGTCACAAGATCTTGGCGTAACAATTACAGTAAATGCTAACAGCACAGAGAAAAAGCATGCCAATCATGTAAATCGACAGGCCTGGGGAGAAAGGTTTTGGAGAGAAGTTGCCTGTGCTGGAGCTAAACTCTGGTCTACTAGTTAACTGTTTCAATCCTCTGCGAATGGTGTTAATCAGGGGCCCACAGGATAAGCTGATGCTTGTAAGATTAAGCAATATAATGAGGATTAGACAGGCAAATGTACCAGAACATGGCATTTAAAACCATGTTTTTTATTTTGTCCATTTTGTTTTGGTTTTTGAGACAGGCCCTCCCTGTAGCCCCAGATGACCTAGAACTCACAATGTAGACCAGGCTGGCCTTGATCTCACAAAAATTGACCTGCCTCCAAACCCAGCAACAATGTTTTATTTTGGATCTGATAGGAAAAGTATTTGTGCATTCAACTTTTATTTGTGGCATTTTTTCTAAGCAACTGTGGTCCAGGCATAGTTGTACACCAACATTCATATCACAATAAAACCACCCAGAAGGAAGGTTAAGTGATACCATGGGCTTAGCACAACTCTTCTGTATAGGAAGGTACAATACATTGACTTCAATTAGGCAGAACCAAGTGTTCTCTCATCTGTACCACACTGAGTCTATCATAGCATGTGATACATTTAGTTACAGTATGCTTAAATCTTTAAAAAGAACTGTGGCACCTAGCTATCTACTCATACCTTTACCTCTAGCTCCAAACTGTTGAGTAACTGTGTGACAGTTACAGTGTAGTGGTTTGATTGAGCATTTGAACTCAATCAAGCATTTGAATACTTGGTCAGTTGTTAGTGGGGAAGGTCCTGGAACCTTGAAGAGGTGTGGCTTTGCTGGAGGAGGCATGTCACTGGGGGTGGGCTTTGAGAGTTCGTAGCCTTGCCCTACTTCCAGCTGCCTGTTTCCTATGTGTGCTTGAAGACATGAGTGCTCAGCTTTCTGCCAAGCTGCCCCTGCCATGGTGAACTCTTATTCCTCTTTACCTTAAACCAAATAAACTCTTCTTTAAGTTGCCATGGTCATTGTGTTTTGTCATAGCAACAGAAAAGTAACCAGTGCACATAGTATATGGGCAGAAGTTGGCCATCTTTAACTCTCAGTGTTAGGTGAAATGGTCTTTAGTTGAATTTATTTATTTCTAATTGTGTTTGTGTCAGAAACTGTCAGATCCCCTGGAATCGGAGTTGCAGGGGATTGTGAGCTATCTGATATGGGTCCACTGTAAGAACAGAGGGCACTCTTTAACTGCTGAACCATCTCTCCAGCACCTTAGATGTTTTTTTTGGGGGGGGGGTTGAGACAGGGTCTCCCTGTAGCCCCAGCTGGCCTGGAACTCACTACATAGACCAGGCTGGCTTTGAACTCAACAGAGAACCACCTGCCTCTGCCTCCGGAGTGCTAGGATTAAAGGCATGCACCACCACACCCAGCCCCTCAGTTGGATTTTAAGGATGGGGCTATAAGCAACTGAATCTAATATAAAAGATGAGGAAGTTATATTTTCTCCAATTGATCTCATTTACGCCTAGGGCTGAAACAAAAAAATTTTAGGCCAATGTCCCTCTGAATCTCAACTTCTCTCATCACAGACCTGTGTAATTTGACTGTTTGACATTGTCCCCTAAATGTGGCAGGTCCCTCCATCAGATTACTCACAGTGCTGCAGGCTCGGAGGGGGCCTGATAAATTATGCCCTTTTCTAGATCAAGGAGAACATACTATATGTATTAGTATATACTATATCACTTTTCTGTTGCTGTGATAGAAACACTGACCGAAGCAACTACAGAAGGAAGGATTTATTTGAGCTTAGGGTTCCAAGGGGCAAGAGTCCATCCTGACAGGGAGGCATGGTGACAGAGATGGCTAGAGGGGGAGCAGAAGCTAAGCTCTCACATCTTCAAGCAGGTACAGGAAATGAGAGTGACTGGAGATCCAGCAAGGCTTAAGAACTCTCTAAGCCCACCCCCAGTGATGTGCTTCCTCCAGCATGGCCACACCTTCTAAGGCCTCCCAAAACAGTGCCACCAAGTGGGGACAAAAATGTCCAAATACTTGAAGCCTTTGGGGGACATTCTCAGTCAAACCATCACACCAGGAAACTATCATTGTTATTACTGACTGTACTAATTTCTTTTTGTTGTTGTGACAATTTAGCATCAATTGCATGACTTTCCTACATTCAAGAATCCACCTCCTTGCTGTTTCCAGCTTCTAACGCTGCCTGTAGTCCTTTGGTCCATCTTCAAGCTAACTGCGCAGTCTCTTCAAATCTCTGTGATCTCGGGATCATCACATCCTCTGATGCTCTTGTCTTCAGCACAACTTGGCAATTCAGGATAATCACCCTTGTTTACCATTTATTTTGCATGCACGTATGTAAGTGCACCATGCAGAGAGGCCAGAAGAGAGTGGTAGATCCCCTGGAACTGGAGTTAGGGATGGACAGTATTAGGGTTTCAAACAGCAGCAGCCTCCCCCTCTCCCCAACAGGGTCCCATGGACTTTGGATTTTTCAAGCCTGAAAAAGGGAACTGAGCTGATAAGCACCTTGGCCTTTGAGGTCAAGAGAAGCAGATTCTTCTAAGAGGCAGCCTAACTTTCCTCTGATCTCAGAAGACAAGAGAAGCAGATTCTGCCTGTTAACCAGAGATTTTAGGAGCTGTTTTAGTACAGGAGCTTTTCCCTTATCTTAGGAGGACAAAAAAGTAAACACTTCCTGACCCAGATCCTGGCTGGCAGACAGAACGGAGCCAGGTTTACAAGCCCTGCTTTTCCTGCCCCCCCACCCCCATTTTTCCAAAACTTCCCGCCTTCTGCACCTTGAAGCCCCTATATATAAGCCCCAGCTCACAATCCGTGGGCTGACATTTTCCCTTTCCCGAAGGAAACGTGTCCTGTGCGAAATAAAGCTCTAAACCATCGAGAGTTTTAACTGTCTTGGTGCCTCATCCTCCATTCGCTTGTTCTCTGCCAACATTTTACCTATCAGACAGTAGTTAGCCTCCATATAGGTGTTGGAAACCGAACTCCAGTCCTCTGCAAGAGCAACCAGTGCTCTTAACCGCTGAGCCATCTCTCCAGCTCCCTTCAACAACTTCCATTTTGTTTTGAGACAGCGTTGCTCTGCTCCTTGTAGCCCCAGCTGGCCTGGAACTTGCTATGTAGACCAGGCTGGCCTCAATCTCAGAGATCAGCCCACCTCTACCTCCTGAGTGCTGGAATCAAAGGAGTGTGGTACCACACCTGGTCCCCTGAAAGATTTCTTATATTCAGTTCTTTTTTAAAATATTTTTTTATTATTATGTGTATGTGTGTATTGCCTGCATGTAGGTAAGTGCACCTGTGTCATGCAATGCCCACAGAGGACAGAAGAGGCTGTCGGATCCCCTGGAACTGGAGTTAGGGATGGTTGTTAGCTGCCACGTGGGTGCTGGGACTCCAACCTGGGTATTCTGCAAGAACAGCCAGTGTTCTTAACTGCTGAGCCAGCTCTCCAGCCCCCTTATATTCAGTTCTTATAAGGCCACCGATCTGGAAATCAATTCTGCAGAGAGAAATAAATTGGGGACAGGTGTAGCAAAAGACAGAGGTATTAGATTAGTTGATGTCATTCCAAATAAAGGATGTGAGGATCGTTCCGACCCACACATTTGAACTTATTCTACCAGTCATTGATAGGGAATATCATTATTTGGTAACTTACCTGTAGATACAGACAACCCAAAGGCATCTTTCCGTTGTGCTATGTGCTACTCCCACCTAGCTCAGCATCCTTACTAAGACCCTGGCCTACTCATTTTCCTCCACTAAGACCTGCTCTCCACACGTGTATTACCACTGCCAATGCAGTGCAGCTCTAAACATTTCCTCTCCAAAGCACTACAGTGGCATCTAATGGGTTTCCAAGGCCCAGGCCTTGCTGTCTGTTCATTTCTACCTCCTATTGTTACCCATGAAGACTTGAGTGCAACAAGTCTGCTAATCCCCCAATTTTGACATCGGGATAAGTCACTTCCAATGAGAGCCGACTTTCCAATGCTCAGCCAACATCAGACTTCCACCCAGACTTCTATGGCTTCAAAGTCCTTGTTCCCTTCGGGGAAAGATACTTTAAGGTCTAAGGGACTTTGTACTTTACACTGGCAGTCCTGGAAGGTGAAGGGTGGCGATGTTGGGGCTTCAGCCAGGATTCCCGAGTGAGGAGTTACGCATTGCCCTCACAATTTCCCCAGGCAGGCCAGGTATTTTTCTTTCCACTTGCACAATTTGGAAACTGAGTCAGGAGACTGATTTGAGGCTTTCATCGCACCCTGATACTAAATCACCGAGTCCCTCGGCCCCTTTTCTTTCTCCTTGAGGAACTTTCCCAAGAACTCGGTCCTTCGGTTCGGCGCTGCGCGGGACCAGATTTTTCAACCAGGCGCGGTGCGGTGACGTGTTCCGTGACGCTATTCAGTGACGTGTGATGACGTGTTCCCTGGAGCCAGGTGTCCGCCGAGCAGCCACACCCTGAGGGTCCTGCTCGAGAGCAAACGGTGTCTCCAACGGGCGGGGACGAGCCGAGCCGCAGACCTCCCCACCCCCACCCGCCTAAGGAGACCTCGGGCCCCGAAACCCTGAGTCCCTCCAGCCTGAGGTCGACCGGTTGTTAGGTGACGCCAGCGCGCGTGCGTGGCCACGGCGGTGTGCGTAAAAGCGGGCGCGCGCCGCGACGACAGCGGCGGCGACAAGGAAGGCGGCGAGGGCGGAGGCCCAGGGGGCGGTGGCCTCGAGGCGGGGTCGCTGCCGGCAGAAGGAACGCGGGGTGCGACTCAGGCGCTGAGGAACATCGTCGGGGTGAGTGGTAGCGGCCCGCCGGGGGAGGTGGGACCTAGCGGCATCTGCTGCGCGAGAACGCGCGTCCCCCGCCGGACCCGCCCCTCGGCCGCGGGATCCAGGGACGGGGGCTGACGAGGGTCAGTTCTGGGGGCCGTTTCTCTCCGGGGCCGTTCTGGAAGGGCGCGGAGAGGAGGCGGAGGAGCGAGGGGGAGGACCGGCTTTCGGGGTGACTCAGCCCACTCCCCCACAGTTGAGGACTTCGCATCCCGAGACACCCGGCTTCCCCCGGAGCCTCGCGTCGGGACGGAGACGCGGACACAGGGACCCACCCCCCGGGAGGGGGGGATATTGGGGTTCGCAAAGTTTGGGGCTCCAGGGGGTGCTCATTGGCCCTGTCCTGGTCGGTTTTTGAGTGGGAAGGCTGTTAGGACGGAGTTGTGAGTCTCTCTGTGTGAGCACTGGGCACACTCACGACCTGGGGAAGCAGACCTGTTGCCTCACGTGTGTGCTCGCGTGCTTCCCTGGCTTTTTTTTTTTTTTTTTTAATTAATTAATTTTTAAAATCCCGTGTTGTTTCACATTTATAGGCCAGGGACTGATACCCATCTTGTGTTGATAACTTCCTCATATCCCCAAATCGTCATGCATTGCTGACATCCTAGTCAATGCCTATTGAGGCATTGATTCCAATTACTAAATGAAATCAGATGATACAAAAACTTAATCCTACCTCAACCAGATGTCCTTTAAGAATAGGTTTTTTTAGGCGGACGGTGGTGATACCACCTATTTATTTTTCAGAACCATGGTGTTGTACTCCTTGGTCATTACTAGGACCAAAAGGGTATGGAAGTCCTGGTTTTTGTTGTCTGTCCTAGAAGCTATACAAATTGATACTGACCAGGTAGAAATATAGATTCTGTTCCATGTGTGGGCTGGAAGGGGGAAGCCAGCGCATACAGATACAGCAAGTCACCAGCCAGAGCTCTCTGACAGCTTGGGCTCACTTGGGGATTAGAGGTCTTGTTATCCTAACCATCCTTGGGAAGGAGTCATGGAGACGTAGAAGAAATCGATCTCATCATCCCCAGTTATCTGTTGATTTAAGGCAGTACCTAGGATTAGAAAAAAAGTTTTAGCATTTTAAAAAATTATTTTTCATTCCTTTTATGAGTGTATTGCCTGTATGTATGTATGTAAGCACACCTGAGACATGCAATGCCCGTGGAGGTCAGAAGAGGGCATCGGATCCCCTAGAACTGGAGTTTTGGTTGATAACCGTCACTTAGATCCCCTAGAACTGGAGTTTTGGTTGAACCGTCACGTGGATGCTGGGAATTGAACCTGCATCCTCTGCAAGATTGGCCAGTGCTCTTAACCGCTGGCAGAGCTTTCTGTCCAGCTCCTGGAAATGAGGAGGGAAGTAAGTTTGTACCCACCTGGAATTCAGAGATCAAAGTTTCCTGAGGATCTGTAAAGTGTGGAATGTGAGGTTCTCATGTCTTGGAATGGAGAAACCTTGCTGTGTAATTTAGATTATGCAGAAGTCAAACACTGTTCTGTGGACTGAAGAGCTTTGGGGACTGGAGTCACTGTTTCCCTTTTTCCTTGGATCTCCTGGAAAAATGCTTGCTACTGAGTAGACACAATGGATACAGTATTACACCACATAAATGATTTATCTGTGCTTCCAAAGCATTTAGTGACTGCTTACTGACTTGCTCCTTTGGCTTGTGCTTAACCTTTTTTTTTTTTTAAATTATTTTTATTTTTATGTGAATTCATGTATTGCTGGTGTGTAGGTAAGTGCACCCGTGTTGTGCAATGCCTGTGGAGGGCAGACAAGGCTGTCAGATCCCCTGGGACTGGAGTTAAGGACAGTTGTTAACTGCCATGTAGGTGCTGGGATTTGAACCTGGGTCTATCTGTAAGAACAACCAGTGTTCATAACTGCTGAGCCATCTCTCCAGCCCCTCAACCTGCTTTCTTATCCAATACAGGCCCACCTGCCCAGGGGTGGCACCACTCACAGTGAGTTGGGCCCTCCCATCATTCAGTAATCAAGAAAGATGCCCTACAGACATGGCCACAGGCCTGTCCAATGGAAGCAATTCACCTATTGAGGCTCCCTTTACCCAGGTGTGTAAAGTTGACAACTAAAGCTATCTAGCACAATGACCAAGCTTTTTCCTTTGAGTGAACAGTCTAGTCAGGAAAAGAAAGCAGGTATCTATAAAAGAATCATGAAACTAAATGAGGTAGTGGAATATAAGCATGTGCTAGGTGTGACTGTGTAATGCAGGAGAAGCTTAGAAAAGCTGTGGTCAGGGATAGGGAACCCTGGGAGAGTAAAGATTTGGGCTCATCTTTGAAAGAAGTATAAAATTTGAAGTAGAAAAGAAATCCTGTGGTGAAAAGCTAATGTGAATTTGGTTGTTGGGGGTATTTTGAGGAGACTTAAATGACTGAAGCAGAGAAAGTTCTCTTGTAGACAAATACTGGAGAAAATTTAACCAAGTGGGAAGGGAAAGTGACAGATTAAGGCAGGCTTATCATCCCACTGATAACAAGGTAGAGCATGCTTGCAGGGTGGGCTGGACATCGTGCTAATCAGACAAGAGTTTGTCATGTGTTATTTTAAAATTTTATCTGTCCATCCATCCATCCATCCATCCATCCATCCATCCATCTGTTTATTGGTTTCTTGAGACAGGGTTTTACCATATAGCCCTTGCTAGTTAGGAACTTGTTATGTAGGCCAGGCTGGTTTCAAACCTAGTAGGATCCTCCTGCCTCGATCTCCTGAGTGCTGGGATTACAGACAGGTATCACCATAGCCTGCCTAAAAATAAATGTATTCTTAGTTAAAGGATATCTAGTTGAGGCAGGATCAAGTTTTTATATCATTTGGTTTCATTTTGTAATTGGAATCACTGCCTTAGTACTGTGCACTTAGGTTGTCAGCAATGTATGTCTCAGGTTCTAAAATCTGCCTGATGGGCTTAGGCCCTTGTTCTGGACATTTACTGAAATGATGTAACCAAAGTCGTCATCTTGCCATACTCAGTGACTTAGTTTTCATTGGGATTATCTCTCATAGTGACCTGTCAAGTTTGCAATAATTGCCGATGTAAGAAAAAAAAAAAGTTAGGTGGAAAGGGAGTCTATCTGAAGAAATATATTTAAAATATTGGCAAAAATATTTAATAATAGACACTTCTGGAGAATAGTGAATCCTTCATTTTTATAATGAAAATTCTTGAACTGCATGGGGTAGAATATACCTGTAGAACCCCAATACTTGGGAGGTAGATGCAGGAGGATCAGGGTTAAGGTCATCCTCAACAACATAGTGAGTTTGAAGCCAGCCTGGGTTACACAAGACTGTCTTACCTCTCCCTATCCCTCCAAAACAATGAAGAAAATTCCTAAGCATGTTGTGTAAACCTGAGGTTGGGTTGCTAACCAAGAAGAGTAAAGTTGCACAGCAAGTGTTGCATTATTTAACAGCTCAGCAAATAATTTATTAGATGCTAGTTGTGACTAGCTGTCCTGTTGGGTGCTGGGAGGGCATAGAGGAATAAGTTGTAGGATATTTCTTGACATACAGGTGTTCAACAGAGAAGATAAATCACCAGTCATTATATGCTGTGATAGATTACTCACTTTGGGAATTAAATAAAGTGCTAGGGGAATTGATTGCTTTGGGGGAAAATTGATAGTGAAAGAATTGAAGAGGATAGACCTTAGTCCTGAGGGTTCAATACGGCTCTGCTGTATGTAGAGAAGAAGGGAACGTTTCAGGTAGAGGAGACAGCCTGAGCAATGTTGCTGAGCATGACAATGGGCTGGTCTTTTTGGAAACATCTTGAGTTGTTTCTTACAGACTTGGTTTGTGGCAGTAATGGTGAGATAGGAAAGATACTTTGGAGCTCTTCTCCGTTCTAAACTGTTTAGACCTCCTATCCACTTGGCATGGGAAGGGAAAGTGTGCACATCATCAGGAAGTTGATTGACAGTTTCCACACAGGCTGCATTAGAGTGGGGAGGTGGGAACATAGGGAGGCAGAGCTGTTAGTAGCTCCAAGAAGGAAAGTGGAAAAGATAGATTTTTAGAGACATTTTAGGTGTTAAAAATTTTTAATTTTATGACTGACTAGAGGTGAGGGAGAATCAGCCCAAGATGACATATGTACTGTGAGTAACTGGGTGATTATGATGACGTTAATTAGAAAATAAAGGAGGAAGAATGGTTTATAGTGCAGAGAAGAAATGATGCCGTGTTCATTTTAAGGAGCTTATTGAAGGAGTTTCAGTAGAGAGATCCATTAGGTAGGTAGTTGGAAATTCTACTTCAGAGTTTGAGAGGACTAGGGATAGTGTAGTGTCAATGACAGCTGGGAGTAAGGAACAGCAGCCATCTAGGAAGCCTGTGGGATAGTAGGTGTCCTAGTTACGCTCTATTGCTCTGATGAAACACTGACCAAAATCAACTTGAGGAGGAAAGGGTTTATTCTAACCTATACATCTAAGGCACAGTCCATCATTGAGGGAAGTCAAGGCAGGAACTGAAGCAGAAACCACGGAGGGATGCTGTTTACTAGCTGGCCATCTGGGATTCACTCACGATCTTCTGGGCTCCAAAGGGTACTGGCAGCTCCACTGCTCTGACTCTGCAGTCCACAGCACACTCAGCTTGTCTCACAGATCCCAGCCAGCTCCATTCCATACCTACTGCTGTCCTTGGTGGTTGTCCCATGGTCCCGGCATCTCCACAAAGCTGGGGTCTCCACTGAAACTGAGGCTACACCTTCACCAATGGCCTCTTCTTGCCTCTTGGGGTGCAAAGCCTCAGATTCACTCCATGACCCCGTCAATCCTGGTCTCTTCACTCCAACTGAAGCTGCACTTTCACCTATGGCCTTTCCTGGCCTCTCAGAGTGCCAAGCCTCAGGTGCTCTCTGTGACCCCTTCACGCTTTCAACACCAGAACCATGCAGGAGACTCTTACTCATTAC